CCACTGACATATATAATAAGCAATTTACTAATATCGACCTTTTTTAATTCATCTCTCAATACCTTAAAACAGAAAATAAAATATAATTTAAGTAAGATTTGCTAGTGAGTTGCATTTTTTGAACTGATATTCTATTTTTAATTATGTTTATGTACTTAGTTTTTTTTTTTGTTATCTTAATAGTCACTATATAGTGTCACCATGTAACTTTCTTTTAAATTGTGTTTAAGTTTTCGGCACTGTAGGTCAATTTCTAATAGATAAGTTTTTTGGTATTTTATTTCCTTTGTATAAGACTGTTTGTTGCCAAAATAAAAAAAAAAGTTATTAACCTCAAGTTATTTTGATCGCTTAGGCACATTATGAACTTGAGTGGCTGTCGTCAACAACAGTCCTCGATTGAGATGTTGTCAAAATCATCCAAAGGCTTCGCAATGTGACGCATCAGCATATTGTGAAGAAAAAGAATATACAATGAAGATTCCGAAAGAAATAATAGGCTCAGAATGGCTAGAACCCAGAGCCGTGAAGCCATTTATAAAAAAATATTGTTACGAACTTGAGGTTCGATTCGTGACAATAAAAATTGTCGATAGAATTACCTAAATTAACACTTTAATTTTCTTTACGCCACCAATTAAACCACCAAGCTGTCCCACTGGGCCCAATAGCTTTTAGTGGTCGAACTCATCGCTGAGACGTCGCTCCACCTGGGCTTGGGAGCACTGGCCTTAATTTATTCCAGAATCGGCTTGATGTCCGGATCTTCCTGCTGTGCACGTTGTAAGCTGTCCTTCCACTCGTTGCTGAGGTGGTTTGCCCTGAGCATCCTCACGGATACCACTTCCTTACTCTCTTGCCTAGTACAATGTTTGCAATCTTCAGGACAAGGTCTTCTTGACAATGCATCTGCGTTGCCATGAGGTTTCCCGCTGCGATGTTCGATCTCAAAGTCGTATTCCTGCAGTAGTTCAATCCATCTCGCAACTTGTCCTTCTGGATTTTTAAACTGTAATAGCCATTTTAGTGCAGCATGGTCATTTCGTAAGTGAAATTTCCGCTCCAGAAGATATTTGCTAAAATGCTGCAACGACTTTACCAGAGCTAGCAATTCGCGTCTTGTGACACAATAGTTCCTTTCCGGTTTTGACAACGACTTGCTGAAGTACGCTATCACAACCTCTCGATCACCGTTCCGCTGAGACAACACACCGCCGAACCCTGTATTACTTGCGTCTGTGTCAACTATAAATTCTTTGCTTGCATCATGGTATCCCAAAATAGGTTTTTTGCACAGACGGTCCTTGAGCTTTTGGAATGCGATATTGCAAATTTCATCCCAGCAGAAATGTCACTTCTCCTCGGTTAGCTTATGCAGAGGTTTGACTATATCTGCGAAGTTCTTCACAAATCGCCGTTAGTAGGAACACAAACCCAAAAATGCTCTAACCTGCGTCTTGTCTTTTGGAACCGGCCAATCTCAATTTTCACTGGATCCGTGCGGATACCTTCTTCCGATACTACATACCCCAAAAAGTTAACTTGCCGTTTGAATAGTGAACATTTCTTCGGACTCAACTTGAGGTTGGCACTCTGAATCTTCATGAGCACGCGTTCCAGGTTTTGAAGGTGTTCCTCAAACGTACGGCCTACGATATATGTCATCCAAGTAGACCAGATAGGCATCGCCAATTAGCCCGGTAAGTACAAGTTCCATCAGCCTTTCAAACGTTGCTGGAGCATTGCACAACCCAAACGGCATTACTTTAAATTGCCACAGACCCTTTCCCGTCGAGAACTCAGTTTTCTCCTTGTCCTTAGGGTCAATTTCAACTTGCCAGTAGCTACTTTTTAGATCCAGCGTGCTAAACCACTTTACTCCTGTAAGCATGTCCAGCGTGTCATCAATTCTTGGCAAGGGATAGCTGTCCTTCTTTGTAACGTCGTTCAGACGGCGGTAGTCAACACAAAACCGCATGCTGCCATCCTTCTTCTTTACCAGCACCACGGGTGAACACCATGGACTAGAGGAAGGTTCAATAACACCATCCTTTACCATCCCTTCAATCATGGTTTCCACTTTCTTTTCACGTGCTACCGGCAATCTTCTTGGCCGCTGACGGATAGGCAATTCTTCTCCTGTGTTTATTTTGTGTTGAACTAAGCCAGTCTTTCCTATGTCAGTATCGTTTGATGAGAATACATCGGCATACTTGAGTAACAACTTCTCCGCCTTGACCATTTCGTTCGGGGAGAGAACGCTGCAACAGTCTTCCAAAAGTGTGGTCACTCTCGTTTGTGCATCCTTGCTGGGGGTCTCACTCGATAGATATTGGCACCGACGTAACCAATCCACTTCCTCACAAGTACCAACCAGCGTGCCTCTTTCTATAATCTGTTCCCGGTCACAAAGGTTCAGCACACGTACTCCTGAGATGTCAGTGGTTCTGACCAAGGTTCAAGCTACTTTCCATGGAAGGTCATTGTTTACCCTTTCCACAAGTACACAACGGTGAGCTTGCCCAGCGTTTTGAGGAAGATTAACCGGAACAATCATTTCCGATCTCGGCGGAAGAACAATCTTCTTAATGCTGTACACGTTCCCTGGTAACGCACCTTCCATAAAAAGTTCCTCCTGTCCACATTTCAAAACACCTTGCTTAACGTCGATCTCACAATAATTATTCCTCATAAAGTCTAGGCCTAGGATGCAGTCGTCCATTATATCAGCCACGATGACATTATGCAGGTAGATCACGTTGCCTAGCTTCAACTCCACCTCCTTCTCTCCACGGACGGGTATACGCTGATCGGTGGCTGTTACCAAATTAATGCGTTCTCGGTTGTATGCGGAGTACCCAAGGAACTGACTTATAAGTTGGGAACTAACAACCGTACGAGAGGCTCCAGTGTCTATGGTCAGTTTACACGGCATTCCGTTGACCTCGCCCTTGATGATTAGACTGTTCCCATCATGGGTTTGTGAGATCGAGATCCTTGGGGCTCTTTTAACATCAGCCAGCACCCGCCCCGCAGTTCTGGCTTTTACTCGTTTCCCTGCTGCTGCTGGGCGGTGCTGTTGGCCGCACTAGCCTCCTGAGATCGTTCACCTTCCCTTTCTAGGGTTCGCCTTCGCTTAGGGCATCTGGATCGAAGATGGCCCTTTTCCCCACAGCCATAGCACCTAGGGCTGTATACTTTGTTGCGGTCGCGAACCGTAGCTGCTGCAACCTCACTGACGCGATGGGAACGATGATCCTGCCGCACGGCTTCTACCTCCAGTGCATGGGCCAAGGCGTCCTTAAGCGTCTCGTGGTGCCCGAGCCTCACAGCAGCTCTGACTTCCACTTCAAGGTCGCGGATGCCGTCGATGAATGTCTGCACCAGGTTCCCTTCAATGAGCGCAGGTACAGACCGGTATGCTTTTCGTACCAGCTTCTCCACCTCTAGAGCCCACTGCTGCAGGTTTTCGTTGATGCGCTGCACGCGATCTTTAAGCTGCGCACGAAAGACGTGTTCCAGGTGAGCGTCGCCATATCTCGCCTCCAATGCCTCAAGGAGTTGCTCATAAGTCACTTCCTCACCGAGAGCTTCCAGAACACCGGACACCCTCCGTTTCCTCCTTAGGTAAAATCGGCATGATTTTATCCCACTTCTGACACCAATTGTTACGAGCTTGAGGTTCGTGACAATAAAAATTGCCGATAGAATTACCTAAATTAACACTTTAATTTTCTTTACACCAATTAAAACTTAAAACACTAAAAATTAATCACACTGATTCACTTTATTTCGCTCCGAAGCTTCGCTTGTCTCGCCAAATTCAATACTTCCCCAATCGCATCTTGCAGCGCCTATAAATACAAATTAGCACCGAAACATCCAGAATATTCAAGTAAACACGCGCAAGGGGCCGAGAGTTCGAGCGTCAGCTTCTAGAAGCTTAGTTCTTCGTTCCGAGACTAGATGGCGCTGTCGGTTGAAAGATTGATGATGTCATTTTCTGGAAATCTCCCCTCGCTCTCGTCCCTGACACTAGATGGCGCTAATGCCGGATCGACTTATTCGCGCAAAACTATGCTCTATAATTTGAATTGATAAAATGAAAATAAAAGAGCGATCAGGGCGGGGTACACTTCCATACTTTAGGTTGGGGTCCAATAATTTGCAAAGACACTAGTGCCATCTTATACGTTGTCCGTATAAACTTTCGACATTAGTTTCTAAAAGGTGCGCTAGATGCCGACTACACCGATTCCGGTTATTACATAGGTTATTCACGAACTGGCAAGTAGCAACTTTATACGACATAATGGCTACCGGCCCGGCGTCTGAGCAAGTTGTCGTTTTATTATAGTTTATAAGTGATTGTCGGTTGTTGCCACAATAATTTTGGTTGAGTTAGGATTAGCTCTCTGTTTCTTGTTGTCTGTTTAGATTTTCATGCTGGAACCACATTGTATGTTTGTGTAGTGTTGTGCGAAATAGACGCTTTCATTTATCATTCCGTAAGCCGGTGGACATATTTAATTTGGTTTGGTGTTGTATTTTGCGGAATAAACGCTTTTACATATTATATATATATATATAACAAAAATAAATGTTAATATTACTGAAATCCATAATACGTATTTAATTGAACCCTAATCCCTTAAAATATAAATATAACCGCCTATAGTATACATAGCCGTATATACATAACTACACAATATACTACATCTATAGACAACATTATATTGAGATTAGTTCAAGGGATATGATACCAGACAGCGACACTATTCATATTGGGTGACAAAAAATTGTAGATTTATATCTCTATGTAGGAGATGGCTCTCTATTTCTGTATATATTACTCTACTCTATGAGAGCGATTAAGCTGATTGAGTGAGCGATACCCATAGAGGAAAGTAATATACGTACACCGTGCCCTTATCTAAGGTGATACACATTCTCATATCATATTGTAAATTGTTAATTTAAAATTTAAATATAACATAAGAATGAACAACAGTACGGAACAAATATTCCTTGTAAATTCTCCTGGAAATCAATCAGTAATTGGACCGCTAAAAATTTCTGAAAACACTACAAGCCAAGTCAACCTCGAGAGTAAGTGTAATTAATTGTGTTTACAATTTAAAAATAAGTAAACCAAGACATTTTATAAACTTAAATATGAGTATTATGTATTTGTTTGTATACCAAAGCGTATGTAATAGCAACTGAGTAGCAAAAAGGCTATTGTTATCTAAGTGTTATAATTATAAATTAAACGATTTCAGATGTTGAAAATTTTTCAAATGTGTGCCGCACCTGTGCAACTATTACTGAATTTGTTATTCCGATCTTTATGGGAGAAGGCTTACAGAATAACCTAGCAGAAAAAATACATAAACATTTACCAATCCAAGTATGTAGTTTTCACAATACTTTAATTGGGTACTTTTACTGTAGGCAACAGTATATTATTTATTAATCTATACTATCAAATTTATTGTACACTGAAGTATAGTGTTACAACTCTTTTTACAAAAGTCAAGTCAATTAAAGAAAATACTGTATGTAATTAATTCATTACTTTCTATACTATTATTTTATACTATACTATTCAATTACAATTTATTCTATACTATTCAATTACAATTTACTCTATACTATTCTTCTGATGAAACTATGGCAGGTGGTTGTGTCCGTGCCTGTGAATGTTTCTGTCAAAATGCAATTGGTATTCTATAAATAAATATAGAATATAATTATTCTGTTTATAATATATTGAATTCTATTTATATAGGTATCAGAACAAGATGTCCTACCACGAGTGGTATGTTACCAGTGTGCCAGTACATTGTTGGCATGGCATGAACTTGTACAGTGCTGTGTGCAGGCTGACAAAGCACTGAAGACTCGCCTTGCAGTAATGCAACATGTAATAAATCTCTACTTTTTTATTTTTCTTGTGTTTCTGATTGGTATTTAAATATCTTTGAAATTGATGGAGATAAATTTTTTATATGTATTACAACTGTTAATGAATTGATTTTGTCAGATAACAATAGATCAATTCATTTTGTTCATTTCTTGTCATACATTATTTTAGTTTTCTTATTAAGGCAGGTAGAGCAATGCGGATACTTCAAGCGACACTCATCAAAAATTGTTTTAATCTGTTAAGCAGGGAATTCACTAGACTCTGCCCATGAGCTGTTTGTTCGGGCATGTCTGTCGCCGCAATGCACTACAGTTTGTTTTAGACCAGCTATGTGATTAGTTGTGTGTGCACATTAAGATGTCAACCTAGACTTGCAATGCTTATTATTTATTTATTATTAATTTGATGAAAAAGAATGAGTAAGAGAGATATAAGTTTAGCCATATCAATTTACATAAAGAATTAGAAAAAGATGAACCAGAAGACCTGTACAATAATTACATATGTTATTATCATTAAAACTCATTGCAAATTAAAAGTCTCCAAAGTTTGTTAAATAATAATAAAAGGCCTTCTGCACTTGTTGCTGTCGCTCTTGTGTGTGTGAACAGACAGCCTGCAGTTAACATTCACGTTCAGGCATGTCTGTGCCTGGGCAGACAAAATGAGGTCGTGCAGATGTTCAACAGGCAAATATACTTAACATGATATACTTTACTTACCTAGGAGTTATTAAGTTATCTTCAGAAGACATTTTTACTATGAAAATACTCAGGAATGTATCTGCTCTGCATAACAGAATTAGAAAGACTAGCTCTGTCAGATAACGGCGCCGTGACCAGACATGACAATGTAACACTAGTATCAAAACAATACGTCTTGCAGTATGCCTGCATGCATTCACAGAGCTCTTAAACCAGCCTAAAGGAAAAGTAATAATTTTAAGCATTTGACTGGAATGAGCCACAGCAACATGTGGTCATGTACAGCTAGTATATATATATATATATATATATATATATATATATTATATATATATATATATTATATATATATATATATATATATATATATAATATAATTCTTCTAAATATTTTCTTTGAATTTAATTGATTATATTGCTACATATCTATCAAATATCGTTTTTTATTAGGGGTGTACATGTAATTATGTAATATTGAAAATTTTCCACATGAATGTGTTTGTCATTTTGTTTTAATAAAATACTTTTTCAGAAGCAAAAGAGCTCAAAGCATGAAGCACGGGGAAACTTACACAAGGAATCTCAAGCAAAGTAAGTTTCTGCTCTCTCTGCTCTGCTCACTTATAATTATATTTTTAGCATTTTAAAGTCCAAAACCATAGATTATATGTACTCTTTCAGGTCAAGAAAATCTGTATGCGTTTCAAGTATTAAAAAAGTATTAATAGAATATTTCAAATTATCAGATGAGGATTTGGATCATTCAGGTTTAGAGATTATTTGTGAAAAATGTAACAATGAATCGAGTTTTCAGACACTACAAAGTTTTGTTGAACATCTTAAGTTGCAGCATAATTTTGAAATCACAGACAAAAAGTCTGTAGAAAATTTTATAAAAGAATATGTATCTATTGTAGAGATGTTAGTTGCTGAAGATCAAATAGCTGATCTAGAGTCCGAAAAGGGAATGGTGGATATAAAAATTCCAAGATTCTATTGTCCCTTCTGTGAAAGCGCATTTTCTTCCACCACGCGCCTTTTTTGCCATTTGAATCAGCATGTTGATGTTTGTATTGAGGAGGGGGTCACATGCTGTGATAATGTTTATAAGGATACAAAATCTTTTGCAGTACATCTGCAAGAGCAGCATGTGAATCACCCACCAAATGCAGCAAATATATGTCAAAGTTGTGGTTTTATTGCTGAAGATAGTCAACATCTTCAGTCACATGTAAGTAAGGAACATTACGTAGAAAAATTTGACGTAAATTACGTCAAAGAAAGGCTGGAAAACCATGACAGGTGCCAGAAATATATACCAGCTGTGTGTCCCGAATGCAACAAAACGTTTTCTAACAAATACAATATGTTAGTTCACATGAAAAGCCATAACGGAACAACAGAAAAGTTTCATTGCGATCGTTGTAACAAAATATACAAGAGTCAAGCTAGTCTTAAATTCCATCAAAAAGTAACCCATGAAGGCATACTAAGCTTTCTTTGCACTTACTGCGGAGAGGCGTTTCCTTCGCGTATTGAGCGTGATGTTCATACTAGAAAACACTCCGGAGTCAAGCCATACACGTGTAAATATTGCGGCAATTCGTACCGTGCGAAAAATACTTTAGACCGTCATATAGAAAGTCACCTCGATATTCGTAAACACGAATGTCACATTTGCTCAAAGAAGTTCAGAAAGCGAACACATCTTAATTACCATTTAACCACGCACAAGCGGAAGAAATAAAGTAACTGGGTTCTTTGTTGCAGATGGACACCCAGCCGCGTCAACTTCGACGCGTATCTTTCGAGGGTTGAAGCAAAAACTGAACTAAAAAATAATACTATAAAAGTTCAAAATTTCAACGCCGTATCCGCAGTAGATGAAACCGTTGAAATGGACGATGGATCGGATGATGACCAACCCTTAGCTACAATAGCTACAAAAAAGTCGACTGATTTGTATAAAAAATTCTATGATGCTCTTGTTAGTTTTAGGAACCATTTTGTCACCGAACACAAAGAAACAAAATGCGAATATCCAGATTTTACAGATTCAAGCGATTCTGAAGAGATAATGGACGATCAAAGCGAAGATGAAGATAAAAATGTGAACAAATTCGATGATTTGACTAAATGTAATATGCGTATAGATAAAATGAATGATGAGACTAGATTGGAACTGAATGAGGTGCAAAGAAAAATCAACGGGAAAGTCTTCTTTACATGTAAAATTTGCGATAAGAATTTAAGTTCGGCACATACATACATTTTTCATAAACGAATCCATACGGGCGAGAGACCTTGCGTGTGTCACATATGTGGCAAACAATTCCGAGCCCCAAATGGCTTACAGAGGCACTTGACGGAAACGCACGAACGTCTACGACGTTACGCGTGCAGTTTCTGCCCAAAGAACTTTGCAAACACGCAAAATTTGAAGCAGCATATTCGTATACATACTGGCGAGCGGCCATTCGTCTGTACGCATTGTGGCAAAAGATTCACTCAGAGCGGCTCTCTGCATGTGCATTTGAAAACGCATAGCGAACAATTTCCGTTCCATTGCGCCGAGTGTGGTGCAAAATTTAGGCTACGAGCCGGTCTGACAAGGCACAGATTAAAACACAGCGGTGAACGGCCGCACGTCTGTGTGCAGTGCGGTAAAGGCTTCCGCCATAAGCACGACCTTTTCAGTCACGCGTTGTCCCACACCGACCCAAAACCACACACATGTAGTGTTTGTAACGCTGCATTTAGACAAAAGAGGGCATTGAAGCACCATTACAAAAGAGTGCATGAAAACGAACCTCCTAGAGAAGTCGTAAATCATTTAGTTTTCAATAATTTAGGACAGTATCAGTAGGTAATTATTATGCTGATTTATTTGAAAGGTAAACCAAAAACATTATGCAAATAAAATTAATACGTTTACACTCGTATTTTTAATGTATCCTTATTTATATAATATACTAACATAATTAAATGCATTTACTTTTCAGTCCCATATTAAATGAATGTGAAGTGAAAGTGGAAAGATCAAGCGAGTTCGAAAGTGATAGCACACACGTAGAAAAGCAAAAAGATATAACAGAAACCATAAACAAATCGCTTACAATAGTAAACGAAGATGGCAAAAAATACGCGCACTGCGGCATTTGCGAGAAAAATGTTTCAGTTGGCTCCTGGAAAAGGCATGTGCGGTCGCACGTAGGCGAGAAAAGATATAGTTGTCACACTTGTGGGCTATCGTTTAATGACAGCGGTAACCTGGCTCGTCATAGAAGAGCCTTACACGCTAAACACCGACCGTTTTCTTGTCACATCTGCAATAAAGCCTTCACTAGAAGCAGCCACCTTCAAGACCATGTAAAATCCCATTCACAAAGCCGTGACTATGTCTGTGACATTTGTGGAAAAGCATCCAAGTCCGGAGCGGCTTTACGAATGCACAAAAAGATTCACGAAGATCAATTCAAATTCCAGTGCATGGAGTGCGATTCCAAATTCAAACGACGCGGTGAACTGAAAGCACATTTAACTATCCACACAGGAGAAAAGGCTCATTCGTGCTGGTGCGGCAAATCTTTTCGTCTTCGAAGTCAACTCACCATTCACATCAAAACACATGACATATTGTTAAAATAAATTCTGAAATATTGTTTTGCTGAAGGCCTCGCTTTGTTGTAGGTTCAAGGATCTGAACGAGTTCGTTGCGCAGACTATGGGTAGCACACAATATGCCAACAGTTCCAACAGTCTATCAAAACTCGGCAAAACTTGCGAGTATTGTGGCATAAAACAATCGGATGACCTTTATACGGATCACTTGATCACCATGCATTCGGAATCACTATTCCATTGTAATGAGTGCGACACATATTTGGACAGAAAAGACTTCATTCTTCACATGTCTATACATGTTCAGTACGTAGCTAATAGTGACAAAAAGGAAGCTTTGAAAAAACTGAGAAAAAGGAAAAGCAACAAAGATAAAAACGAAAATGCAGTGATTACTACCTTGAAATCAAATCCATCTCAGAACAAGGAAACTGTAGAAAAGACAATCAAGAATTGTCCAAGAGAAAATAGCAACAATGAAACGCCAGAAAACGAATTTTCAGACCACAGTGATGTAGAATACTTTGGACGTCTACCCGAATCAGTGTTCGAAGCTATTGAAGACTCACAAGATAGCCAATGCGATAATGATCCGGAACTACCGCAGACTTCAGAAAATAATGAACTAAACGAAAATAACGATAACAGTGACATATCTAACGAATGTATTAAAATTTCTAAAGATTTAACTCCAACTGCTCGACCTGCATCAGATAGTAAAACTGAAAAAAGGCACAAAAAAACACGGACTTGTCCCATTTGCTCAAAAGTGTACACAGCCTCATCTAGCTACTTTTATCATTTGAAAAATTCTCACCAACAAAGTAAAGACTACGAATGCGACGTATGCGGTAAAAGGCTAGGAAATAAAAGTAGTTTAGCGCAGCACGCCTCCATACACGTGAGTGAGCGTCGCTTGGAGTGTAGGCAGTGCGGAAAAAAATTCCGTTCAAAAGCTAGTTTGTACATCCACGAGCAAATTCACAGCAACGTGAAGACTTGGGCCTGTAACCAATGCAACAGATCGTTTAGGTGGCGTACGCACTTGTTAAGACACTTAAAACGCCATTCAGCTGAGAAATCGCATATTTGCACGTCATGTGGGCGGGGCTTTAAAATCCATTGTGACTTGTTGCGACACGCCCGCACTCACACCGCTGGTAATTTTAGTTGCGAAAAATGCGGCGTCAAATTTGCGCAACACAGATATTTAAAAGTGCATATGATCAAGAAACATTCCAATAAAATAACTGGAAATGAATCTCAAAACTAGAATTAAGCCCATTTTTAATTTATTGTGACTAATATATTTTTTTTTAATTATTTACCATCAACTGTGTATAAAAATAAGCTTTTAACGTGATGAGAAAAACGTTTTTATAGATTGTGTCAATACCTTTTTCATTCTATCTATAATTATGCAGAGTAATTGAGAAAGAAAAATAAACAACTTCCAAATAAATTCAAATAAAACAAATTGAAAACTATATAACGTTTTATTTTTAACATAGGTATTATTAATATGTTCTAAAAGAAAATAAAGCTACATTACACATGACCATGTCATTTACTCATACATTATTATTTTAGGTTTGTGTGAAGAAATTTAATGATATATGAATACGATAAAGTTAGCAATGATTTTTTTATTAATGAGATCAAATCTATGACGATGGAAAAATACTATATAATAATATAATATATTTATATAAGGTTATTAAATATTCTTTACTAATTTCAATCCGCTATCGGCCTAAGTTTAGCGGTTAGACTCATTGGGCTTCTAACCATCGTCTTATAATGTTAAAAATCCGATTTAAATTAATGTTTTTGTTTTTATATAGTATGTGCCAAATCGATTGAGAATATGAATATGAGCCGAGTGTCAAAAGGCGTATCTTACAAAATATCAATTTAGATGTGATAACAATATTTAAATATTGATATTATTCACACTTCTAGGTCAGCACATATGTTTTGTTTTATTGTTTCTTAAATAATATTGTCTGTAGTTCCTATAAACATTGTAAAATCTTACGGTACATCACGAAAAATGTGTTATATTTTATATTTCAATTTAAGGTAACTAACGCAGGCAATTCATTTAACAGTTTCATATTAAAAAATATTTCAAGCAATATAATCACCATATTGAGCTTTTGCCAATTCATACCTTTAAAATAAACAAAACGCGCGTTACGTCAGTTCGTTCTAAAAGAAACGTGATAATGTCAGCCAGGGATGCGTCACCTTTTTTGGGCCGGTCCGCCATTTTGTAAATATTGAAAATAAAGTTTTATCTTTTGAATAAAGACGTACGCACGTACTTATTCTGTGTCGTTATCACTCGAATCTTTATATGTGTTATAAATTAATGCTTTTTGTTGTTAAATGAATAAAGTACTTTATAACAATAGATGATTTTTCTTCTACAGGGATCTTTTACATAACTTTTTAATAATAGTTAACAAATATATATTATATCAATCATTATAAATAAAGAAAGTACCACATATAAAATGTGTCTATATATTGAAGGTTTGTAACCCCTTGTTAAAAGACCGAAAGGTCAATGTCCGTTTTTCTCAATCGATTTGGCACATACAATAGTACAAATCTCCAAAGCTGACAAGTGTTTATTAAGACCATTATATAAATGCTTCTTTTGTACAAAATTTATCACAATTTGAAATGAACAAATAAATAATAATCATTTCTTATATTTACGCGAACACTACACATTGAAATAATACTAGTTATTACGGAATTTATCGCGTATATTTAACTTTTTAATTACCCGACGTTTCGAGAGCTTTACAGCACCCATGGTCACGATAAGGACTGAGATGTTCAACGTCCAGCTGTCATAGTTAACCGCGGTTACCATAGATTAAAATTTAACTTTTGTTCCGATCTACACAGTATGAACTTATGGTATCATGGAGTCTTGCAGTTGTATGCTTGGGTTGGGATTTAATTTTATTTATTATAGGATCCCAAGCAGATGGTAGCACCCAGCCATCTTCTCTATTGAAATTAGGATGTTTTTTGATTTCAATAGCCTCGCGAATCATCCTTGGAAGGAATCGGTGTTCTTTAGCGAGGATTTGTGGTCTATCAAATCTGATGTAGTGACGGGGGCGATCCTGTACATGTTCACAGACTGCAGCTCGACGCTCCGGGAAGTCTTTCTCTGCTTTTCTGAATAAAATTAAATCCCAACCCAAGCATACAACTGCAAGACTCCATGATACCATAAGTTCATACTGTGTAGATCGGAACAAAAGTTAAATTTTAATCTAGAGTAACCGCGGTTAACTATGACAGCTGGACGTTGAACATCTCAGTCCTTCCCGTGACCATGGGTGCTGTAAAGCTCTCGAAACGTCGGGTAATTAAAAAGTTAAATATACGCGATAAATTCCGTAATAACTAGTGTTATTTCAAATAATAATCATTCGAATTTTTTTTAATAAAATATATATATACAATAAGATAGACAACTTATACATCTTGGTAAGTCATCTTAAGTAACATTTATATCACTTAACTAAAAAAACTTAAATGTAGGTTCAGAATATTATAAACTTATTAGTCGGCAATGATATTGCTGATTCCCATTCAGTTATAACTGAGACCTAAATATAATTTTGGGCTTTGTTCATAATCCATTTCAAAATATTTTCTCTAACAATAGAAAGAAATTTTAAATATAAATAAACTGATAATTTAATAATTTATTTTTAACAGTAATTATAAGGGCCTCCAACCAGAAACCACAGTGTATGCAGTACTTAATGGGTGCAAACAGTTTAAAACTGTTGTATTTCAAATCTTATGGGAAACTTGTGTTCAACAGAGTAGACTTAAATGATAAATGCATATTACAAATATTAAGAAATTTATGGATGATCATAACCCCTGGGAATGAGATTTCTAATTTGTGTTGTTTTAATTATGTAACATACATGATAGTCAGCTGTTATTTTTATTAAGTCTTGCTGAGTTTCTTGCTGGTTCTTCCCAGGACAAAGGCTTTTTTTCCCAAGCAGTGGTAATAACAAAAGAGTGACTTTCAATAAGTATTATTTATAATCTATATTGAATTAAAAGTTTCTGTTCTGTTCTCACAGTATAACGACCAGTATTTTAATGCGTTAATGTGGCACTTTTAGCGCCGTCCAGAAAGTTTAAAAAAATTATGACGTCCCCAAGCAAAATGAATTCATGATTTGACAGTGATATTTTCATTGAAATTGTTTTCATTCAAAATGATTACCTCCGTCAACGTTCTAAATAAGTTTATTGATAAATTTGTCGACTAAATTGGATCCAAAAATTTAATAAACTATGGCTAAACTTATTTAATAACGTTTACAGAACATATAGATTGGCGCTTCACTAAGAATGTAATGTTGAGGCTCGTATTTGAGATGGCAGAGAGGCCAGGATATAATATAAATTTAATATATGCTTTTTTACCCAACTGCCCTAGGAGGGTAATGTATTACGAGTATATATATGTATATGTAATAACTTGATGGATATTAACCTTTTGAGCGCCACGCCAAAAGTGCACTACCGTGTCTTGTACGCCAAAGCGAAAAGTAAACAAAAATACCTACGAAACAAATAGTGTTTCCAAGAGTTGATATATCGATAACACAAAATAACTTAATTTTGTTGGTTTTTTATGCAATAAATGACTTTATAATCTGATATGTTTTATTTAATCTTGTGCTGTCTTCCACTCTTTTTAATAATGCACTTTGTACATAAATAAAAACAAACAATAACAATAAAATAGTAGTAAATCACAACACTACTCTTCATCGTGATGACGTCACTGTCACGTCTGGACGACAACGGCGTAGCTGACCTTCCTTTTTGAAACTTTCTTGGAGATGTAGCCGTGTCACACGTTGTGTATCGATTTCGAAATCGATCTAACCAAAATATACAGACATCAACTCAAAATATTTTATGTGTCGGGGGAGGCGTAGACCAAGTGAAGCACAGAAGAAGTTTTACGCTCTTATGACAATGGGGATTTGATATGATGCTGATGCTACTAGATGACTTTGAGATAATCATAATCTTTATTGCAATCAAATGGTAACAATAGATGTGTTTTTAAAAAAAATAGTCCGCATTTGAACCCAGTTTGGGCGTAGCAATTATAAAAATGTTGTATCATTTTTAAACTACAAGATTTCAATAATAAATTACATTATTAGAATATATTATTTTAATTAAATTAATAATCACAATGTCAATTAAAAAAATAATTATTATTATTGTAAATAAAAATAAAATTAAGTAAAAAATATTTGAATAAAAAAAAATTAAATTAAATTAGATAGGCACAGGCCGAAGTTGTCCACACAAATTAAAGAACATTTGTACCAAAATTTTATAGAAAAAAATTTTCAATTAAATATAACTTTAATTTGGATAATAATAATGTAGTACTCGTTAAATTTTTTAAGTCATTTGGAAGGTTTTTAAAAAAAATTACTGCCATATAGTAGAGACTAGAGCTATGCAAGAGTAGATTTCGGCAATAGTAGCCTATTCTTATTTGGCCTAATTGAGTATTTGTAATTTGTTTCATTTAATTTGGTAAAAAGTTCTGGGTGGTTTTTTACAAACTTGCATGTTTCCCAAATATAAATAGACATCAAAGTCAAAATTTTAAACTTTTTGAAGTGGGGCTTACAACTTTCTGGCATTTTTATGTTTGCCAAGATTCTTATAATTTTTTTTTTGCATTATTAATAATTGCTGTGCATCATTTCCACACAACATGACACCGTATGACAGCCACGAAGATGTTTACGCGTAATATGCTTACAGAGCGCTGGGGACGTCTGTGGTTTTCTTTATTTCTCGTAATACGTAAGTGAATTTTGATAGCCTTTTTTTACTTTACTTATATGGGCTTTCCAGTTTATATGGCAGTCGATTTCCAGGCCTAACAAGTTGAAGTTGTCCATAGTTCCTATAGCTATATTATTATAAGTAAAGCGATATTTAGTGGTGATTTTTGAACTGGTGGGAATTGCATAATTTTGGTTTTATTAAAATTAATCTCTAGGTTGTGATGTGTCAACCAATTTGTAACCTGGTTCAATACTTGATTCAATTTATTATTTAAATTCTGGTCTTTTGTATGCGGAATAATAATGGAAATGTCATCAGCAAACATATTAGAGGTTTCAGTCAATACCCTATTGATATATTGAGAAAGAAAATCGCACAACACAAAATGTA